TGCACTCCAGTCTGGGCGACAGAGTGAGACTCCAACTCAAAAAAAAAAAAAAAGAGTATGTAGTTCAAAGTGTATGCAGTTCAATGGGAGACAAAAACACAGCATAGAAGATACCACTGCGGAGATGACAGAGGGTGTGGTGGCAATATAGAAGGAAGAGAAGTAGTATCATTGGGGAAAACAAGAATGACTACAAAGTAGAAATGATATACGAGCTAGGTTCTAGGAAGAACAGAAATGAAGGGGAGCATAGAGGAAACAGAATGACAATCCAAGAAACAATGTATGCAAAGGTACATCAGTGGAGGCACGGCCTGCTCAGAGAAGGTAATCAGACAGGTTTAGCAATTTGATGTACAGAAGAGTTCTCAAGTCAGTCCATATCTTCCACTCATGGTCAGTGGTTCACTGGGCACACTATCATGTGCTGGCTCACTGGGACAGGAGTCATATGCCTCAGTGATCACCTATATCCTCCATCTGGTTCCTTTTCTACAACATGCAGAGTAATCTTCTAGAGCAGAGAAGCTCCAGAAGGGCTTCCAACCAACCCCTCTCTCTCACCCCACAATGTTTTGCCTTTTCATAAACTCAGTTAAATATGTGTTCATGTGTTTCCTACTGGTCTCTTCATAAGCACCTAAGCTCCGTGAGCGCAAGCACTGTTTTCCTCCTTAGTGGATCCCCAGAACCTCAAAGGGTGCCTGGCACATTGTCAGGGCCCAATACAAACAAGTCCTCTACTTTGACCTTTCAAGGGCTTCCTCACCCATTTGGGATCAAATCTAAGCCTTTCACAAGACATCTGCAGCCATCTACATTTCTCAGGCTTTTCTATCTGGCTTCATTTCACGCCACGCTCCCCTTCACTCACTAAGCTTACACCACATTGGCCTTTTTCCTGCCTAAGACCTTGACTCTGCCTGGAATGTTCCTTATCTGCTAGCTCCTTATCTGCTAGCTCCTACTCATCCTTCAGTTCTCAGACACACGTTTCATCAAATAGGCTGCAGTTCATTCAAGAAACATCTGTGTACTTACTATGTGCCAGGCACTGTGTTCTGGCTGTTGGAGACTACAACAGGGAACAAAATAGAAACACAAAACCTACCCTAAATCTTTATCTAAATTAAGTTCAGCTGGGCGTGGTGGCTCACACCTATAATCCCACCACTTAGAAAGGCTAAAATGAGAAGATTATCTGAGTCCACAGGATCAAGACCAGCCTGGGCAACTTGGTGAGCCCTCATCTCTATAATAAATCAAAAAATTAGCCAGCATGTTGGCCCATGTCAGTAGTTCCAGTTACTTGGAAGGCTGAGGCAGAAAGATCACCTGAGCCCAGTAGGTGGAGGCTGCGGTGACCGGGAGTGTGCCACTACCCTCCAGCTTGGGGGAACAGAATGAAACTCCGACTCAAAAAATAAGGTCCTTCTGTCATATTCTTTCTTAGATTCCTATACTTTTGTGAACATCTCATTATAAATTTGTTTGCTTAAGTCCCATTCCCCTACTTGACTCTTCAGGCAGGAACTATGCCTGTGTTGTACATCACCTTATCTCCAGCATCTAGTCCAGGGCCTGACATATAGCACATGCTCAATAAAAGTTTGCTGGGGCCAAGCATGATGGCTCACACCTGTAATCCCAGCACTTTGGGAGGCCGAGGCAAATGAACTTTCAGACCACAAATTTGAGACCAGCCTGGGCAACATAGTAAAACTTTGACTCTACAAAACAGAGAGTCCAGTGTGGTGGCACACACCTGTAATCCCAGCTACTTGGGATGTTGAAGTGGAAGGATTGCCTGAGGCCAAGAGGTCGAGGTTGCTGTGAGCTGTGACCATTGTGATCGTGCACTGTATTTCTGCCTGGACAACAGAGTGAGACCTCAGCTCCAAAAAAAGTTTGTCAGACGAGTGAGTGAAGGAGCCAGGGGCCTGTTTATGTTAGTGAAGGGGGTTGGAGGGGTGGGGGGAAACAGGACAAGAGATGAGAGTCACACGGTGAAGAGCTGAGTACTTGGAGACAGTCCCTGAATATGAAAATCTTTCATCTCCTAACACTTTCTTTTGCTCATCACAATCATTGGCTCTGTGGAATAAGTAATATATGAAAACATTCTCTTAATTTAATACACTGTATTAACACTGTATCCTTTTCCTTTTAACAAGCAAAGAAATCTAAGAATCATGGGACAGATCAAACTATCTTGCCCCTTGCTCTTCTACAAAAATAACAAAAATAAATATATTTGACAATCACTATAGATTTTATATTGTATATATTTTTAAATTTTAAATTGAGCTATAGTTCTCAACCATAAAATTCACTTTTAAAGTGTACAGTTCAGTAGTTTTCAGTATATTCACGAAGTTGTACAATCATCAGTACTATCTAATTCCAGAACATTTTCATTATCCCAAAAAGAAGCTCCTTTAGCAATCATTTCCGTTTTTTTTTTTTTTTGCTCCCCTAAGCTCTGGCAACCACCATCCATTTTTTGTCTCTATGGGCTTGCCTGTTCCTGACTTTCCAAATAAATGGAATCATGTAGTATATGGCCACTTGTGTCTGGCTTCCTTCACTTAACACATTTTCAAGGTTCATTCATGTTGTGGCATGCATCTGCACTTCATTTCTTTTATCATAGATTTTAAAATGAGAATGTAAGCCAGGCTCGGTGGCTCAGCCTGTAATCCTGCACTTGGGGAGGCTGAGGTGAGTGGATTGCCTGAGCCCGTGGGTTCGAGACCCGCCCGGGCAATTTGGGGAGACCTCATCTCTACAATAAATCAAAAATTAGCTGGGCGTGGTATGTGCGCCTGTAGTTCCAGCTACTTGGAAGGCTGAGGCAGAAGGATCGCCTGAGCCCAGTAGGTTGAGGCTGTGGTGGCCGGGAGTGGCCACTACACTCCAGTCTGGCCAACAGAGTGAGAATCCAACTCAAAAATAAATAAATAAATAAAAGAAAATATATTTCCCTCAATATAACACTACAGATTTATCAGAAGTTGCCATACCCAGAAAAACATTTAAAATAACATCATAGCACACAATGTGTATGTATACCAAGTCACCATGTTGTCCACCTTGAAGGTATATAATATTTGTCAATTAAATATTTTCAAATTTAAAAAAATAAAAATAACATCATAACAAAGAAAAATAACTTACTTGCATTGGGCATGAAAATATTTGATCAGATTCTGAAGTAAGTCCACTCCCTTTTTAATCTTGATTTCATTGACCTTCAGCAGATACTGTTAAAAAAAGAAAAGAAACAGCCAGAAATAAGCAGAATTAGAGCTTAAAAGAAGCTTCTAAGAGTTAAGATAATCTCTTCTACTTCTTTGCCACCTTTTGCAACGGGTAGCGCTCAGGGTAGACACTTAATATCTTCTGGATTCCACAACTTTATTTTAGTTTGGTGCCATATAAATTATCTGATGGTCAAGTAATTAAATGTTTAAGTGCCAAGAACTCAAATCAATATGACATTCTATCTTAGCCTACTGAGAGAAATTTTCACTTTAGTTGCATGGAAGAATGAGAATGGTTAGAATGAATGGGATTTCTAACCATCTCAAAGCTTCCTATCTACATACTCTGTTCCAGGCCGCTTTCTTCGGGAAAGTCTCATATTTTATAGCTGAGACCCTTGTCACTACGTCTCTAGTTCCAAGATACTTCTTCTACATTTAAAATAAAATGTGTAGCCGGGCATGGTGGCATGTGTCTGTAGTTCCAGTTACTTGGAAAGCTGATGTGGAAGAATTCCCTAAGCCCAGCAGGTCGAGGTTGCGGTGGCCATGAGCATGCCACTGCACTCCAGCCTGGGCAACAAGAGTGAGACTCCAACTCAAAATAAAATAAAATAATATAAAATAAAATAAAATGTGGTTGTTAGAAAAAATAAAAAAATTTATTTTGAGTTGGAGTCTCACTCTTATTACCCAGGCTGGAGTGCAGCAGCACGCTCATGGCCACTGCAGCTTCGATCTGCTGGGCTTAGGCAATCCTTCTGCCTCAGCCTTCCAAGTAGCTGGAACTACAAGTGTGCGCCACCATGCTCCGCTAGTTTTTGTGTGATTGATTGTAGAGATGAGGTCTCACCAAGTTGCCCAGGCTGGTCTCGAATCCCCGGGCTCAGGCAATCCTCTTGCCTTGACCTCCCAAAGTGCTGGGATTACAGGCTAAACCACCATGTCCATCCAGAAAAAATAAATTTTACTTGAAATGAATTAAAACCATTTTTAACTTAGAAAATTCATTAACGATCCCCCTATTACATCAGGAAGCTCCAGGGAGCTACAAAACCAGTGTCAGAAAATGCATTTGCTCTTTACTAAAGCTTTACCGAAAAATGACTCCATCATTTCCTCCCCTATCGACTGTTAGCAGATTGTATAAAGGATCCCGAGAACATGAGGAGACAGACCATCCCCTGAAAGTCACTCTAGGTGCATGGAAGAATGAGAAAGGTTAGAATGAACGGGATTTCTAACCATCTCAAATCTTTCATCTACACACTTCTGTCCCAGACTCCCTTCTTCAGGAGGGTCTAGAACACTAACTGCCAATCTTTTATAACTGAGACCCTTGCGTAGGCTCTCAGCTGTAATGGGGCAGGAGGTGGAGGATCCAAATTCAAGCATGCTCTCAGGTGTGTCTACAGCCCATAAGGAAGTGGGAAGATGCTGTAAAACTGTAAGTTACAAAATTTCCTTCTTTTATAAGAACTGCCTATAGATCCTCTTCTCCCTCCTTCTTTTTGATATGTATTCATCGTTAATTGAATAAGATATTTGCTATGTATCAAAACTTAAAATGTGTGTGCCCTTTGACCTAGAAATTCTACACATAGGAACTTACTCTAGGAATATAATTTTAAAAGTTTACAAAGCTTAATAGAAAAGAATATTCACTGCAGTCTTGTTTGTAAAAGTGAAAATGGGAACAACCCAAATGTATGGTGCACTCATACAAAAAAATACCGTGTGGCCAGTATACCAATAAAACAGAGAATGTCTGATATTGAGTGATGCCCATAACATATGAGAGAGTGAAAATCATCAGGTTATAAAGCAACAGTAGAGAGTAATCTATTTTACATGAAAGATGTTTATTTAAATGTCAAAACAGTTATTCATTGATAAGTAAAATTTGGAGCAACTAAAAAAGTTTTTATATGTATTTTCTCATATTGACCAATTTTCTTAAAAAGTACACACAATTTTAGTAATCATAAAACAGTAAGAGAGGATCTTTAAAAATGTGTCCCTAGTGCAGCAGTATTGAGAGGTGGAACCTTTGGAAGGGGAATGGGTCATGAGAGCTCTGCAGTCATAAATGGATAATGGATTATGGAGACAGTGAGCCAGATATCATGAAAGCAGGTCTATCAGAAAAGTCAGTTTGGCTGTTTTTTTATGAGGCCCCCCTGCCATGTGATGCCCTGTACTGCCTTGGGACTCTGCAGAGTCCCCACCAGCAAGACAGTCCTCACCAAACGTAGCCCCAGAACTTGGACTTCCCAGCCTCTAGAACTATAAGAATTAAATTTCTTTTCTTTGTAACTACTTAGTCTTGGGTATTCAATTACAGAAACAGAAAACAGATTAAAATAAGTAGCTATGCTAACATCAGACAAAAAGACTTTAAAACTTTCTATTCCTACCCTTGAATCCTGGGACTGATTCTCTTCTGCTGACCACTTAAAAGTGTGCTCTGAGAATAAAAACTCTTTAAATATGTATCTAAAATACATTTACTAGGGGTGCCAAAAAAATAAGAAATATGTATACATATTTCAAGAGATGTTATCTATGTATTACCTTTTTTTTTTCTCTTTGAGTTGGAGTCTCACTCTGTCACCCAGGCTGGAGTGCAGTGGCACGCTCACAGCCAGTCCAGCATCAACCTGCTGGGCTCCAGCGATCCTTCTGCCTCAGTCTTCCAAGTAGCCGGAACTACAGGTACGTGCTACCATGCCCGGCTAATTTTTGATTTATTGTAAAGAGGTGGTCTTTCCAAGTTGCCCGGGCTGGTCTCGAACCCGCAGGCTCTGGCAATCCACTCGCCTTGGCTTCCCAAAGTGCAGGGATTACAGGCTGAGCCACCGAGCCCAATCTATGTATTACTTTTCAAAGTTGAACTGAATTACAGTAGCAATGTGTAGTATGATGTTTGCTTAAAAGATGGTGTTAATCAAATAATGCGAGCAGTACCATGAAACAGACAGGACAGCAAAAGGAAATACTGGAAGCACGGTTGTCGTTAAAGGAGCAAATGATCATTTGAAGTGGTATTTGAAATTCAAGAATGTTATGCAAGTACAACAATAATAGAGGTATGCGTGTACAACAAAATCTCCAACACGCCTAACAATTGTACCCATTTGTGAGAACACTGAGACACATGGTACTGGATGTGATGTGCACAAGGGAAGATTCAGGAGGCCTCACACAGCAACAAGACGTGCTTCTTCTGCAATGGTGCTGGAACAGTTTACAGGCTCACCACCGAAATCTACCAAAAAATGCACACCTCTTGTAATCGCAGAAGTCAGATGTGACTTCTATACATTCCCAAGTCAAAAGGTGCTTTCTGGATTAGCTTTATTGTTGATTGTTTATAGGAAATCAAGAGCTGGCTGGAACCAGTTTCAATGCCTGCTACAAATATCACTCATGCAGGCTGAGCTTGGTGGCTCAGCCTGTAATCCCGCACTTTGGGAGGCCGAGGA